TTTGCCATAACCATGTTTGTTTATTCCCTTTATCAAATTCAAGTCCTCCTTCTCAGTGAATGGTGTTATACGCTTTTGAATGGACGTCATCTGGCAGTCGCTGTCTGTCTTTTCATTTACAGGTTTGGTACTGCTCTGTGTAATGAAAATGTCCGAGTCCGACTCAGAGTCTTCCGCACCCGTCGAAACACTGACAAGTTTTTTCAAAGAGCTGTCTAGTTGTTCTCCAGATTCTCCCCTCAGCTTCTTAATGCAGTGATTCCCTTTTTCGGCAACGACTCTCGAACGCTTTTTGCGATAATGAATTCTTGCAACATTTGAAGTATGTTTTTGATCTTGCGAGATCAGATCTTGTTCTTCAAGGGATAGAGCATCAGCACTCTCTGTTTCGATTATTTGTCGGTAACGTGTTGGGTGCACATACTTGCCAATAGCTTCATAGACAAGCAAACACATTGCTTGACTCAGCTTCGTAAATTGGGTACCATTGCGCGTAAGTAACAGATATTCGCATTTTGGAAGAAACCTCGGCCTAACGTGTCTCACATAGTCGTCCAAAACATGCATGCAGACGTCATCTATGACCATGGAATCAAAGCCATACTTGTCAGCTGTTTTGAATTTCTTCTGGTCCACGTATCCGCCATTTTTTGCTGCACTACGTAGCATGCCAATTGTCAGGAATTGGTATGTCATTGGCCGAGAACCCTTGACACGTAAGAAGAGAAATGTCGTTATAAATCTCGTTGAAAAAGTTAGATCAGATGCTGAAACATCTGCTGAATGCTCTCGACATTTGGCCACTATTTTCTTATATCGTCCCATGTGAAACGGTATGACCTTTTGTAAGTCTTTCAGTGATGCCCAATGTCCTTTTCTCTCCAAGGTATCAACATCCAATTCTACAGTCCACTGTACACGCATCTTACGAGCAATACATCTTCTGGCGCGCTTCAAAAATACCTCTGCAACACTAAAATTTGATAAGATGGAAGCTGACACTCCTTTAAACTTTCTATACTCCATTGTTTCCAACAAAGCATTGATGTAACTAACGCTCCCAGCAAATCCAATAGATTTCTCATCCTCCAAATGTTGTAAAAAAGCTGACAAGCATGCCATTGAAGCCAAATAGTAGTCAATTTTAGGCCCCTCTATCCCTTCGAGCATAAGATCGTCCTGAGAGTGCTGAATAAACTTGAGGACACGAGAGCAAATCTGATTTGCGTGTGCCTTCGTGCGAGCACCACCGGTAGAGCTGCACATCCATTTGGCAAATGTTTCACTGAAAATGACGTCATCTGGAATGATATTCGAACTACCATCCTTTGACTCGTTGGTCTTCTCGTCACATGTGTTTTGTGGCGCAGCTTTATTATCCATAATATCTTTCGGGTATTCGTCAAAATAGAAGAACCAAGGATGCGAATTTGTAACGTGCTTTCTGCAACCTCTTTGACTGCGGAAGCCTTCATGCTCGCAATCACCAATAGGGCACTGAAATATTCCGTGCACGTTAGCTATTAACATCAGCCTTTTCTTCAACTTTGCAGCTCCTGGGACGTCTTTCCAACGTACTACCATCGAAGACATCTTCTAGTTTTGTGGCCAAGCTGAAAACTTGCAGCGCTATATATAGGTTGAAACTTCTCAAGAGACATGTGAATTTCGTTTTGCTGTTTTACGGAGAAACGTGACTAAACTCAAATGAGCAAAAGAAAATCGGCCCAAAAGTACTTAGCGCACGCAGAACGAAGGAACTTGAGAACGTATATTCAAATTTATGTTAGAATGTATAGGAAAAGCGAGCGACCAAAGGTCCGTAATTCCCATAACGGCACTTTAGCAGCATATCCTAAAATTGATGAGACGTTCCTAACACAAAGGAACAAAGGAACAGTTCCCATGGTCCTAAAGACCCATCTTATTACCTTTGTTCCTTTTATGGGGATCTATGGAACATTAGCCAAATGCCAGCGTTTTTTGCATATGAATTTTTAAGATGCTTAAGGGCATTCTTTTCGGAAAAAAACATCAGATGGTTGCATGAGTATGCAGGACATCTGAAAATAGCAAAATGGGACTTGATAGAATTCACTCTTTTGAATAAACTAAAATAAAAAACTTCAATGAAGTATCTCCAAATTTGGCAAATACTGATGACCATTTCCCAAAATTCGTGTTCCTTGGTTCCTTTTTTACCCTTGGGGTTCCTTGGTTCCTATAAATGTCAGGCAGAAACTCTGTCAGTTTGTTGGGGGAGAGTAAGAGCACGATGGCAGTTAGAGTAAGAGGAGCGAAAGCGAAATGCTGGACATTTGTTTACAAGTGTTATCCAGAAAATGTTATGGAGTTATTAGAGCAGCGTAGTGAAGACTTCGAATATCTGATTGCTGCAAAAGTCAACAGCGAAGTGCACGAAAATCTTTTGAGGGGATACATTATCTTCAAATGCCAGAAGAGGGCAAATCAAGCCGAAGCTGTCCTCAACATAGAAGGAAGGCCCGAAAGACTGGAAATGACCATAGCCAAGGGATCCTCAAGGCAACATAAGGCTCAAGTCAAGTGTGGGCACAATTTTTTTGAAATTGGTGAAAATACATTCAAAGGAAAAGAAAAAAGCCAACTGGAGCTTATGCGGGACAGACGTATGCATGAGGCAACAGAAGATGCCATGTTGGAGGAGTTTGGAGAAGCCTGGCTTCACAGTCAATCCACTGTGGATAGGAGCATTGAACGACAACAAATGGAAGAGTCGAGGCAGCGAATGCTCGAAAAATTTCAAAGTGCGAAGCTGCGACCATGGCAGGAAGCTGTTCTTCGCCTAATAAGATCTCAGGGACCAAGAAAAATTACATTCGTGGTGGACGAGAATGGAAATACAGGAAAGACATTTCTGGCGAAATATATACTGGCCACGAAGAACGCCTTGTATTTCACATCCACATCCTTGCGGGATATTGCATATGCATGGAAGGGCGAGCGGTACATTGTTTTTGACATAAGCCGTGAAAAGTCAGAAAAACTGAACTATTCCACCTTAGAGACAATTAAAAATGGAGTAGTATTTAGCACTAAATACAGGTCTTCAACAAAAGTATTCCAAATACCAATAATTATTTGTATGATTAATTCGAGACCGCTGGCAAAAATGATGTCGGATGATAGATATCATATCGTTGCATTAGCAAAATCTCCAGATCCATTAGAAAGTATAGTAACTTATACTGTAGAGGATTATCGCTATGCCCAGGAGCTTGAGGTTAAATAAAAACGCTACACAAAATGTTGTCCTTATTTTTGTTCTTCCTTAATGGACTTCTTAATACGCACGGAATGTATTTAATATAAAAATATTACTTCGTAAAACAAAACTATGAATGGGATTCTATCCATTTGTGTTTATAACCGTTGTTTCTCACCATGAGAACATATTCAAGCTATAAAAAACATATAGATGTTCAACGTCATTGTCCTTTCGCTATAAAATGCAGCCGTTACCAATGGAACTCGTTATCATGGACATTGGACACAAGAATAATGTAGATAGTATGGATATATTTGGGCTGGGCTTCTGTCCAAAAGTTTGCATGGATATGATGGGCTTCATACCTCGTATCCATTTAAATGGGCTTCTTATCTCGTTATCATGGACACAAGTATAATGTAGATAGTATGGATATATTTGGGCTGGGCTTCTGTCCAAAAGTTTGCATGGATATGATGGGCTTCATACCTCGTATCCATTTAAATGGGCTTCTAATCTCGTTATCATGGACACAAGAATAATGTAGATAGTATGGATATATTTGGGCTGGGCTTCTGTCCAAAAGTTTGCATGGATATGATGGGCTTCATACCTCGTATCCATTTAAATGGGCTTCTTATCTCGTTATCATGGACACAAGAATAATGTAGATAGTATGGATATATTTGGGCTGGGCTTCTGTCCAAAAGTTTGCATGGATATGATGGGCTTCATACCTCGTATCCATTTAAATGGGCTTCTAATCTCGTTATCATGGACACAAGTATAATGTAGATAGTATGGATATATTTGGGCTGGGCTTCTGTCCAAAAGTTTGCATGGATATGATGGGCTTCATACCTCGTATCCATTTAAATGGGCTTCTTATCTCGTTATCATGGACACAAGAATAACATAGATAATATAGACATATCAGGGCTGGGCTTCTGTCAATACATTTTCCACACTTCCTGCCTTCAACAATGTTAGGACTACATTCCAACAAACAGAGGTTAGAAGCCTAAATCATTTCGAGGATGAAAGCCCAGGTTTTGAACGAAAGTTTTGGAGAGAAGCCCAGCCCAATAATTTTCAATACTTTTCAATAGATTCAAGAGTACATGAAACCGAGATTGGAAGCCCAAATCATTTAGAGGATGAAAGCCCAGGTTTTGAACGAAAGTTTTGGAGAGAAGCCCAGCCCAATAGTTTTCAATTCTTTTCAATAGATTCAAGGGTACATGAAACCGAGATTGGAAGCCCAAATCATTTCGAGGATGAAAGCCCAGGTTTTGAACGAAAGTTTTGGAGAGAAGCCCAGCCCAATAGTTTTCAATTCTTTTCAATAGATTCAAGGGTACATGAAACCGAGATTGGAAGCCCAAATCATTTCGAGGATGAAAGCCCAGGTTTTGAACGAAAGTTTTGGAGAGAAGCCCAGCCCAATAGTTTTCAATTCTTTTCAATAGATTCAAGGGTACATGAAACCGAGATTGGAAGCCCAAATCATTTCGAGGATGAAAGCCCAGGTTTTGAACGAAAGTTTTGGAGAGAAGCCCAGCCCAATAGTTTTCAATTCTTTTCAATAGATTCAAGGGTACATGAAACCGAGATTGGAAGCCCAAATCATTTCGAGGATGAAAGCCCAGGTTTTGAACGAAAGTTTTGGAGAGAAGCCCAGCCCAATAGTTTTCAATTCTTTTCAATAGATTCAAGGGTACATGAAACCGAGATTGGAAGCCCAAATCATTTCGAGGATGAAAGCCCAGGTTTTGAACGAAAGTTTTGGAGAGAAGCCCAGCCCAATAGTTTTCAATTCTTTTCAATAGATTCAAGGGTACATGAAACCGAGATTGGAAGCCCAAATCATTTCGAGGATGAAAGCCCAGGTTTTGAACGAAAGTTTTGGAGAGAAGCCCAGCCCAATAGTTTTCAATACTTTTCAATAGATTCAAGGGTACATGAAACCGAGATTGGAAGCCCAAATCCTTTTTTGTTTTAAAAAGCTTGAGAGAGAATTCCAGCCCAATTATAATTGTGAGATTGAAGAGGTACGTGTATGTAAATGAAATACAAAGAAGTAATCAAATTCAATTAATGCTCCCATTGTTTATTGGTCGTTATTCTAGGAAACAACCTTTACACGCAATTTTTCATACATGCAACGAAACTGATTACTTCTAAAGCGTCTTAACAAAGAGTTACGAGTTCTTCCCTCTGCGAAGCACAAGCTCTTGTCCGAGAGTATTTTGCCCCATTTGCCATAACCATGTTTGTTTATTCCCTTTATCAAATTCAAGTCCTCCTTCTCAGTGAATGGTGTTATACGCTTTTGAATGGACGTCATCTGGCAGTCGCTGTCTGTCTTTTCATTTACAGGTTTGGTACTGCTCTGTGTAATGAAAATGTCCGAGTCCGACTCAGAGTCTTCCGCACCCGTCGAAACACTGACAAGTTTTTTCAAAGAGCTGTCTAGTTGTTCTCCAGATTCTCCCCTCAGCTTCTTAATGCAGTGATTCCCTTTTTCGGCAACGACTCTCGAACGCTTTTTGCGATAATGAATTCTTGCAACATTTGAAGTATGTTTTTGATCTTGCGAGATCAGATCTTGTTCTTCAAGGGATAGAGCATCAGCACTCTCTGTTTCGATTATTTGTCGGTAACGTGTTGGGTGCACATACTTGCCAATAGCTTCATAGACAAGCAAACACATTGCTTGACTCAGCTTCGTAAATTGGGTACCATTGCGCGTAAGTAACAGATATTCGCATTTTGGAAGAAACCTCGGCCTAACGTGTCTCACATAGTCGTCCAAAACATGCATGCAGACGCCATCTATGACCATGGAATCAAAGCCATACTTGTCAGCTGTTTTGAATTTCTTCTGGTCCACGTATCCGCCATTTTTTGCTGCACTACGTAGCATGCCAATTGTCAGGAATTGGTATGTCATTGGCCGAGAACCCTTGACACGTAAGAAGAGAAATGTCGTTATAAATCTCGTTGAAAAAGTTAGATCAGATGCTGAAACATCTGCTGAATGCTCTCGACATTTGGCCACTATTTTCTTATATCGTCCCATGTGAAACGGTATGACCTTTTGTAAGTCTTTCAGTGATGCCCAATGCCCTTTTCTCTCCAAGGTATCAACATCCAATTCTACAGTCCACTGTACACGCATCTTACGAGCAATACATCTTCTGGCGCGCTTCAAAAATACCTCTGCAACACTAAAATTTGATAAGATGGAAGCTGACACTCCTTTAAACTTTCTATACTCCATTGTTTCCAACAAAGCATTGATGTAACTAACGCTCCCAGCAAATCCAATAGATTTCTCATCCTC